GACATTCATTTTGGCATTCTTTCTGGCATATCTTCTGACATTCTTTCTGGCGCCATTCTTTCTGGCATTCTTTCTGTATATTTTCTGCATATCTTCTGACAATCTTTCTGGCATATCTTCTGACATATCTTCTGACATTCTTTCTGGCACATCTTCTGCATATCTTCTAACTTTTTTGTGGCCTCTCTACTGACACTCATTCTGGCATTCTATCTGACATTCTTTCTGACATATCTGCTGACACTCTCTGACATTGTTTCTGGCATTCTTTCTGGCGCTCTATCTGGCACGTCTTCTGATTTGCGGCTGAGGAACACTGCCGTCCGGAACTGGTTGTTGACGTCAGAAGATATGCCAGAAAAAGTCCGAAATATTGTTTCAATACATGCCAGAAATTTGTCAGATTGAAATGTCATGGTGGGGATTACTCGAAGTGAAGTATTTTTAAACTGTCTCTGACACGACTACACAGGAGGCTGCAGTATATACGTGTTTGAGTTTGGGATGTCGGCCATGCGGTGGCTGGGCGAACGCACTCATCAGACCAGTCTTCTTTTTGCGTGCAGCGTGCAGGTTCGACCTTCTACTGGGGGACGCGGAAAGAAGGGCGAACACATGTTTTCCTTTAAAAAACATTTGAGTTTTACGCATGTGGGAAGCAACCCCAAGTCATCAACTGGATGGAATGCAGTTTGTTGCTTGGTATCGAAGCAGCAACTGCTCTGTGGCCAAAGCTTGCTTTTTACCGGGCCAGAAAAAGTGTTGAAGCGGGAGAGCACCAAATAGTCCTATGCTCAAACCATCAACCAAGTGCAGCATCTTCGTGCCATTTTGGGACGCTGCAGTGCCGCGGGGGACATGCTCAGACCTGAGTGTTTTCCTCCAACAAAAGTCGGAGTCATCCTGGTTACTCGCATGCTGTTTTTTGGCAGATCCTTGCTGAATCTTAGATGCTATATTATGGTATTTTTGTAGAGCGGGGTATTACAAAGAAAGGTGAGGATCGCAACAGCAATCCGAGTCAATCCAAATCACATCTGTTGGAGGTCGGGTGTTTCTGTGTTTGAGGAAAAATAAAATAATTAGCTCTGAACATCTCTGAAACTATCTGAAACTAAATATGCGATCTTAATTTGCGGTGCCACCCAGACGCTCCGTTCACAACCCGACTGGTTGGAGGCCATCGTTATTAGGTTGGAGGCCATCGCTATTAGAAACAAATAACAAACAAAAGGAAAAACACAGAGTTTTCTTCAAGACCCTACATTTTTCCATAGGTTTTGGATGGTCTTGGAAGGTCTAAAAACGGATTGCTTCGACCCCTTCCGACCCCCTTCGACCCCTTCGCGCGGATCCGATCTTCGGGTCGATCGTTGGGTCCGATCCCTCGGATTCAGCTCCAGGAGTATCTGGCTAGATCTTCCAACTAGGCAAAATCTACAGTATGCCTTGGGGCTGGTTTTAGAGATGAAAAGGCCTAACGGCCTAACATTTGCCTAGTTGGAAGATCTAGGCAGGTATAGGGCGATTTTCCACGCCCTGGTTCAGGCATCCTTTCGTGGCACCCCTTTGTCGCTGAAGATCAGTGACGAGGAGATTGCTTCGCAAAACCGCAGGTTTTGAGGGACTACGAAGGGCGGATTGAAAGGGGAGAACCCGGGTTCAGACCCCTAAAAATTCCAGACTAAAGCGGATTGAACCATATAGAACCCTTAAGGACTTCGACGGTTCATAGGACCATAGTTCAGACTAGGGCGGATATACCTTATTTCAAAGAACCCTTAAGGACCCCCCAAAACGGGCAAAGAAATTCCTTCCCTATCCGCTGCTCAGCGCGGCTGCCATGGACGACCGTGGGCAACCCATCCGCGACCGCGGACGCCGCGTCAGGAGATTATGGACTTTGATCTTCGGTGTATGGGGACCACGAGCCTCACCGAGCAACCGTTCGCAGGTTCGGCAGTGAATGTAGACTCTTGAGGACCATGTAGACTCTTGAGGAACATAAACCCCCCAAGCCTGAAGAGCATGTTCAATTCAAATGGGAAGGTTTATTAGTGATCAAGAGTGTATACAATAACCTTACCCCAATTGAATGAACGGACTTGCGGACAGTCGAGTCTGGCGCGCCTCCACGCTCCCCCTTGCTATATTGTATAGCGGGTGAAGGTGGATGTAAGGGGTGAGACATACTACCTGATGACACGTGAAAAGGTCGAGATAAAAGAGACTATACACTACGAATGCATGCGAGAAGCGGCAACAAACAATGTGTCTGGATCGGTAGGTGTCTCGAAGATCTTTGTGATTGCAAAGTGAATTGGCAGGTAAATTATCTAATTGGGGCCCGGATGTACAACCAAGTCGAAATTCTTCTTCCTGAACAAGTAGTACCTGATATGTTGCGTGAACTTTTCCCTTTTGCTCATGGAAACCTCTGGCCAATTTGGCCACGGTGGTCGATCGTCACGTGGAACGATTGGAAGTGGGAGTATTTCATTATGAAATGGCGGGTTATGTGGAATTGTTAGAACCAGGTCTTTCAAATACTGGTATGTTTCTGCTGCGTTGGGGAGTTCAGGATGTCTAGAAATTCCAGATTCATGATATCTGGAAAATCCCAGTCTAGTAAGGCTAGATGTTCCCTGTTGTTTGTAAGCTGGTACAATCTTGCATCTTGAAAATGTCTGTAGGTGTTTGATAATCAGGCGAAAGGTCTCTGCTAGGACTCGCACCGATTTAAGTTTCACGGGCTGAAGGCTGGTTTTTGGATCATCGTATTCTAGTATTTCTTGAGACTCTTTATTAGCGACTCTGATGGGTAGCGAGCGTCCTGCCCATAGCATGAACGATACTGCCAATTCCGTCCAAGATATTCCCGGATCTTTAGGAACCGGTGCTGCCGTTTCGGCAGGCCACTTTAGCAAAGTGCAAAAGGTCCAGACAAGTCGCGCATGATTGCAGCCCCAAGGGCAGGACCAGAAAACAACTCTGTGTGGTTCTGCAGGCAAGGTAAACAAATTAGTAGCTAAAGGCCAATCGCGAAGTTCAGCCAGCTTTGACGAAAATGACGGTGTCAGAATTGTAGATTGCTGGCCTGCTTCTGTTTGCTGATCAGCAGCATTCATGGTCTTTTTGTTCTCAGTGGCAATTTCATCTAAGGTATTCATACGTTCGCAAGACAAGTCGAGAATATATTTATAGATTTCATAAATGTTTTGTCTTTGTGTCTGGTAGTGTGCACGTAAACGTTCACACTGTTGTAGAAATTCGGGCAGGTCAGCAGCGCATGTTCGCACTGCGGCCTCATCAGCAAAAATATTTCCTAGAATATGGTATTCCTCCTCACTGGAATGTGCATCTTCAAGTTTCTGGTGGGACCGAATCTTGAAAACGTGGAATCTGTGGCATATCCACACTTTACACAGTTGTGTAATTAGGTCCCAGTGATCTCTTTTGTGTGGGGATTCCAGAATGGTGCCCTCTTCGATATGGGATATCACATTTACTACGAATTGTGAGTCCGTGTAGAAAGAAACCTGGGAGGTGTCGTCAGATAGGTTGGCTTGTTCGGCACTAATCACTAGGGCAAACAACTCGGCACGATTTATGGTTTGTTTTCCCGGGCAGTGTCCTGTGGCTAGGACTTGGTATTTATTGTCTAACGTAGATGATGACCATGAGCGATGTACAACCGCCCAAGCAGCTCTTGCGGTGTAGGGGCTCGTGGGATTTTGGCATGACCCGTCCGTATAGAACACATCACCATTGTGGACATTAATTTGTGTATCAATATGTACGGTTTGGTAACGGAGGTGCATGGCCTGTCGGATCAAGGCTAGCTCTGCCGAATGCACGGGCAACGGGAACCAACATAGGTATGTATGCATCTGCAAGTGTTGTATAGCCTTTGGATGTTGTTTACGTATATGTTGAAAGGCTGGGCACTCAAGCAGGAAGTGTTTGTGCGTGTCGAACTGTTTGCAAAATGGGCATTCTGGTGACTGTGTGGCACTCCATTGGGCAATAACCCCGTTGGACTGCCATCCGGCAGTAATGGTGATGGCTAAGATTCTACGTTGTCTATCCGTGAAGTGTTCTAAGATTTTATTAGCTGTCCAAGAATCGAATGGCGTAGGAGGGACGCCTTTTCGGTGCGAAATCTCATTATGACAATGCCAATCCCAGGCAATTCTCAACTCCTTTTTAATGGCTTTGCTTGTAGCAGTTTGGATATTAATGCGTAATCCTCCGGGTCCCAGTAACGTTGCACCGGGTGTGACCTCCCAATCGAGACGATGGATGTATGCGGCCAGGGCCGTTGCCGGACCGTGGACTTGGCCACTATACCTACGAAGGGATTGCACGAAATTGTTGGCAAGTGACGGGTGGTACACAAATAGCCTACGCAATGTAGTGAACATGTCCGAAATGACGTATAGCATGGGGTCTTGAACCCTGTGTGATAGAAAATGAAGTGCTACGTGGCTTGAGGCTTGTTTATGGTCACCCACGAGTACATTGGTGGCGGCTCTTCTAAGGTTGGTGAAATGCTTTTCTCCAATGGTCATACCGAGGGCACCATAAAATGTCGCGGGCCAAATGGCTGTTTGAATTTTTTCTGCCCGTTCCTCTAAGCTCAAATTTAGTTTTCGAAGTCTATTGCATTTGGCCATTGCATTGTCAATTTTATCACGAAGTGGGCCGAGTACTACCTGGTTTGTATAAGCAATCATGCAGCCTAGGTCTTGTACATGGTTCTTAATTTTGAATCGGAAGTTAGGCTGTAGCATTATTTGGGATGCGTCATGCCAGAACTGTCTGAGTGGTTTGGACGTCGCCCATCCCCATGACTTATCCAAATCGATTCGCATACGTAGGTCGTGGACAAGATTAAGGATAGTAATCATAGTGCGAAATGTGTCCCGCTCTGATGTCGACATAAATGACCAATTGTCTGCGTATGTATATGGGTATATCTGTGGTGACTTGATTGCATGATGGAAAACGAAGCTAAGTGCTAGCATTCCAACCACCGACATTGAATCTCCTTCTGGGAGACCGGTTGTCGAAATGGCAGCCGGTCCAATAGCACGTCCGCACTGCAGGACTCTGGTCAGTCGACGTAATGATTTAAACCAGAAGTCACTTACGAAGACTGGGATGCCCAGTAGACGAAGGATGTATCGGACCACTCGTCTTGGGATGAGATTAAATGCTTTGACCAGGTCCATGGTCCAACCGCACCACGCAGTTCGGTGTGTACGAGCTTCTTCAATTTTTAGCATCTGGATTAAACTTAAATCCCTGGCCGAACGATGGGGAAGTCCTCCGCTAATCTCGGAAGGCCAGGTACTTGTCCATTGTTTTAAAACTTGATCAGCAATAAGCTTGGACGTTAGACGGGCTAAGTAGCCTAAGATGGTAATGGGTCTCCCGTCGGAAATAGATTCCGGTTGAGGTTTTTTGGCGAATAACAATGTCCTGGCTTGCATGTGCTGTGCAGTATGTCCATATGACCAGGTTTTGGAGAGGATTTTAGACAAATCAACAACCATATCCCATGTAAGTGCTTGCAGTTCTTCCGCATGCCATCCATCTTCTCCTATTGCCTTGTAGGGTTTTAGTTTGTGAATTGTGTCCCATAACACGTGTGGGCAGTCGTACTTGATCTGGAGTGGGGTTTGGGGTGGGATGATGTCCTCAAGTCGCCTAAATAAATCTGCCCATGGTTCATCTGATTCCTGGTCATGCATAGAGTCGCGCAGCCAAAATTGTGCCCAGTAGCGATGAAAAGCTTCGGACATTGGTTCTATGGTGTATGCATGTGTATTGTAGGACAACAAGGCTTTTGCAGGGACGTGGCCCTGCAGTTTGCGTAATGCAATTCGGGTATTCTGGATAGAACGGACTTCTGCTGTGCATTCACCGAAATGGACTCGACTGCCTATCTGGACTGGGAGTCTTTTCTGGAGATGTAGGACTGTCTGACCTTTGGAACTGCGGCACAAGGTAGCTTCTGTTTGATGAGCGACAGGGATGTCGTGCAAGAATTTCTGGTCTTTATTTTTAATATATCTATAGGCTTGAGCGTTGTTCGTGTGGGACAAAGCATAGGCAATGGAGTGGCGTTTGTGATGTCTTCTTAAATGGGACTCTTGGCGTGCGTATGCGTCTGATTCAAACTTTGTAAGCTGTAATACTTCCTGCAGCCAATCTGTTGACGGTGTGTCAACTGGTATGTGGGTAACAAACTCGAAGCTCAAAATCCATGCGGCCCAAGATCTACCAAAGCCCTGTGCCTTTTGGATGACATTCCATTCCTGTTGTAACTGTTGTTTGAGGACTGGATTTTCGCACTGTGGTCTAAGCTTCTTCAAGTGTTGTAACAATGAAGCTATTCTTCTAACCTGTCGCACTTTCTGGCGTGCTTTGCAAGAAGTGATCTCAGTCGGTGGTTCGTATGCGTGAGTCGTGTCAATCTTAACTGTTCGTGGTGCAACATGGGTGACATATTTGGTGGGTGTGCCTCTGCCAAAATATTTCTTGCCAAGGTTAGGTCGAGGGTAACGTAGGGGGTCTTGGATGTGCTGTTCTCTGAGTGTGCCCTGTACTGCCCGTTCAATCCCCTTGGACCAACTTTCGAATGCGGCATTGATTCTGGCTTCTGTAGATAGATCGTCGTCGAGTAGAAATTGCCGTGAAGTCCGGGTATAGTGCCTAGCAAAAACCTCTGGCTTCAACGGGATGTCACCCCAACTTTGTGGCATGAACCAGTTTCGCAACATGCGTTGTGTCCCAGGAACCCGAAATCTGATGAAGAGGGGGCTGTGGTCGGGGAAGACATTGGCTTCTCCAACCCAGATATCTTGTATCCACGGCACAAGCGCTTCATGTATTATAAAACTATCATTTCGTGTGCTGTTAC